CGTGCCTGGTGCATCCAGATATTCGTAAATCTCGACATCGTCGGGGAAAGCATGCCCAGTTCCTGAAGAGCTCCGGGCGCGCCTTGGCATAGTCGATGACGATGATCTGCGACCCTCGCGGCGACACCCTCGAACCAGGCAACACTCCACCCAGCACCCTCTAGTTCATGGTTCTGATAGCGTGGTCGTAGATGCATTCTTTGCAGATGTACATGTCGTTCAAAGGCGCGATGTCGCGCGCCCAGATGTACTCCGTTAGCCACCATGATTTATTGCTGACGTTGAAGCCCGGGCACGATCCCCAGGTCCCGTTCGTGGAGTTGATGCATGCCATGTCATAGACTATTAGGCTGGACGCGTAGGCTCGATCGCTTATATGCTCGGTGAGAACCGTGATGCGCTTTGCGCAACGCGAGCAGCAGGGCTCCTTGATGCAGGTCCAACACATTGTTGCCAGGCTGGTGATTGCGAGTGTGGACGAAAATGTTCGTTGGGCGTATTTATATAGGCAGAGTCGGCCGTATAGGCATTCGGCTCGGTGGTAGTCTAAGTTAGAAGATCATGCAGCCGCATGTAGATGCTGGTGCTGGATATATTGCTGTCAACCGTTGCAGCAACAAAGTGCGCTGGTAAGCGGGGTGCGTATGGAGGTTCACCACTTGCTGAGCAGCAGCGAGATGGACACTGAGCTCCATACCGCTGACAAGAATTGAAGGATGAGAGAAAGAGAAAACGCGATTATTGTGGGGTGATGGTTGCGACTTCCTCGTATGCCGAGTCTCGTCTCCTTCGAAACAGTCTCAAGTCTGCGAGATGCTTCCTTTCAACGTCGATTCACATGGCTCGACAGAAAAGAAAGCACTCCGTTCACTTTCAAAAGGGAAGCGTTACATTTGACTGTTCAAATTTTGTGCACCATGATTCACCTTGTATTGGGCTTGTTTAAGCGGATTGAGTCCGTGATTCACGACGATACCCATACGAATGAATCCAATATGCTCCATTCAACGTCACTATCCTAGGTCTTTAAGCATCATCGGACTTTGAATATTCTCTCACATACTACCCAAGCACGATTCAATTCAGGAATCAATCCTAAGACAACTTACCACATATTTCAAAAACGATATAATAATAGCATTTTCGTATAGTAGCTCGCTATATACTTCGCTGTTATTATAATATCTTACTATAGAACTGTCTATTTTAGGGAAAGAGATAATTTATTAATTAAGTCTTATGAAAGCCTATAAGAGAAACGACTAGAAGAGAATAGTTATATAGAATAGTAGATATTAATAAGGACTATTAGAAGGAGGGTAGCGCTTAATTTAGAGAAGGCTTAATCCCTTCGTCTTCCTCTTTCTTTTATCTTTTTATAACTATTTAATAGGTTTTAATCTATTAGATAATAGATCTTAGGATTATTAAATGAAATTTCTCTTCGAATTATTTATTTCTCTTCTAAAATAATAATAATAATATTAAATTATAAGAAATTATTAATAGAATTTATTAATTCTATAAATGATAATCTTAAAGAGGAAGGAATATAGAAAATATTATATATTATTAAGGTATATTCTAGGTAACGACTAAGAGGATAGGTTATAATATAATATAAATCGATAATAGAGAAATAAATAGATAAAGTCGATAGAGGAATAATAAAGTAAAAGAGAAGATATCTCGGGAGGGAAGTGTTAGAGGGGGAAACGAATAAAGGATTCTAGTAGCCCTTATTTTTAGCTATAGAATAATATAGTTTTCGTATAAATCGGAGGTAAGTAGGAATTTAGTTAATTAAGGAATAACTTTGAGGATAGCTCGGATTAACCCTAGTAGGAGTAAGGGTAGTCCTAGAAGGTATCCGTTCCTAATAGTTAAGAACGTAGAAAATAGATAGGAATTACTACGTAAGGGGAAGTAACGAGTATAATCTAATATTAAGTATATATTCTATTATCTAGAAAATAAGAAAAAGGTCTAAGGGATTAGATCTATATATAATAGACTAACCTTCTGAATCACTGCCTGGATAGGGCGCTTAGACTACCTTACGACCTATAAGGAAGTAGAGTTAGTTTTTATCTAGCTTTAAAGCTAAATTAGTAATATATGAGAGAAGTTAATAGCTTATTAATATAGGATAGTTATATAGATATTATAAAAGTATATTATTCTATAGCCCGTCTTTTCTCTTTTCTAAGGATATAATATATTATTTAGTTAGCTTTTATTTACTACTAGAAGGGTATAAAGCCCTACTCCTATAAAAAATATATTATAAATATATCTAATAAAAAGGTAAGGTAAATTGAAGGAAAAATAATTTTAAAATCTATAAATCATTATAATATAATAAAAGTTAATATAATTTAAGCTATTAAAATTATAAAAAGATAATTTTTTTAATTAATAAAAATTAAATAGGTTAAATTATTTAAGGATATAGAGTATACTAGGATATACTAGTTATAGGATAAAGAAGTTTTAGGATAATGGGAATATTATCTTAGGACACTGTACTGCCGGGAAGTAGACGTGCGGGGATAGGTCGTCGTAAGGCTGGTCCTTTGTCATTTTTGGGAGAAGTAGGGCGTTGCTAGGCAGGTGATTTGGTGAAGTGGATAAACGCGTAACGCGTTAGGTGAGGATGCCTTATTGGAACTTCCACCCCTCATCCCCACTTTGGAATCTTTTCTACGGTCGCGATGACAGCGCAGCCCGATTTTCGCCAAGTTGCGGGTGCCTTTACTATACTTGCTGAGCAGAAGTGCTTTGCTACCCAATCTTCCGGCTGTGAATGGAGGGTGGGGAACTCCCTGGGATTGATGCAGGAGATGCGGAGGGAGATGATGCAGTTAGCTACCGCTGTTGGGCGTATAGAAACGCGTCTGAGCGCAGTGGAAGCGACGCTTGGTTCCTTGGGGAACGATTAGCTGCGGAGTAAGTGATTGTTCTGAAGTTTGCCTGATTGGTTTGGACTGACCTTGTGTGTCGTGCAGGAGCGCAAATAACCTGGCGAGATCATTGAATGGGGCAGCGGATGGTCAGGTGTTGCAGCCACTACTGAGTTTGGTCACGGGACGATTTGTTGAGTCGTTCCCTCGGACGTTGGCGGAA